ACATATGCAAATCTATAAATGTAATCACCATAAACAGAAGTAAAAACAAAGACCATATGATCCTCTCAATAGACGCAGAAAAAGCATTAGACAAAATTTAGTCCCCTTTTATGATAAGAAAGCTTAACAAAAAGACACAGACTGGACTTACCTCAAAATGATAAAAGCCATATACGACAAACCCACAGCCAACATCATATTGAACAGGGAAAAATTGAAAGCGTTTTCTCTTAGAACTGGAACCAGACAAGGTTGCCCTCTATCACCACTTCTGTTCAACATAGTGCTGGAAGTCCTAGCGGGTCAAACTAGTGCTTTTGCTGACAATATGATCTAATATCTAGAAAACCTCAAAGATTCTGCCAAGAGACTACTGGAATTGATAAATAAATTCAGCAAAGTCTGAGGTTATAAACTCAATATATGCAAATCAGTATCATTCATATGTGTCAACAACAGTCAAACTGAGAACCAAATCAAAGACTCAATACCTTTCATAATAGTTACAAAGAAAATAAAATACCTAGGAATATATTTAACTAAGGAGATGAAAGATCTCTATGGGGAGAACTATGAAACACTGAGGAAGGAAATAGCAGAGGACAGAAACAGATGGAAAACCATACCATGCTCATGGATTGGCAGAATCAACATTGTTAAAATGTCTATACTACCCAAAGTGATCGGCAGATTCAGTGCAATCCCTATTAAAATACCAACATCATTTTTCACAGATCTAGAAAAAATAATTTTACGCTTCATATGGAACCAGAGAAGAACCCGTATAGCTAAAACAACCTTAAGCAAAAAGAACAAATTGGGAGGCATCAATTTACCAGATTTCAAGCTATACTACAAGGCTATAGTAACAAAACAGCATGGTACTAGCACAAGAACAGAGACATAGACCAATGGAACAGGACTGAGAACCCAGATATAAAACCATCCTCCTATAGCCATGTGATCTTTGACAAAGCAGACAAAAACATACACTGGAGAAAAGAATCTCTATTCAATAAATGAGGCTGGGTGAATTGGATAGCCACATGTAGAAGACTGAAACAGGATCTGCACCTCTCACCTTCACAAAAATCAACTCATAATGGATAACAGACTTAAACCTAAGGCATGAAACCATAAGAATTCTAGAAGAAAACATTGGAAAAAATCTTTATAGGCAATGGCCAAGGCAAAGAATTTATGAAGAAGACCCTAAAAGCAATCACAGTATCAACAAAAATAAATAAATGGGATCTGATCAAATTTAAAAACTTCTGCATAGGCTGGGCGCGGTGGCTGACGCCTGTAATCCTAGCTCTCTGGGAGGCCGAGGCGGGCGGATTGTTTGAG